CATTGGTGTTTGGCATTGGCTTTTATGACTGGACTTTAGCATTGGATGGTTGGCATGGGGTTTGGGCATTGGGTTTTAGCATTGGCTTTTAGCATTGGCTTTTAGCATTGGCTTTTAGCTTTGGCTTTTGGCATTCGATTTAATCACTGGGCTTTAGCATTGTATTTTAGCACTCGATGTTAGCATTGGGTTTTAGCATTGGGTTTTAGCATTGGATTTTAGCATTGGCTTGTAGCATTGGAGTTTACCATTGGCTTTTAGCATTGGCTTTTCGCATTGGATTCTAGCATTGGCTTTTACCACTGGCGTGTAGCATTGGGTTTTAGCATTTGGATTCTAGCATTGGATGTTAGCATTGGAGCTTAGCATTTGCTTTTAGCATTGGCTTTTAGCATTGGCTTTTAGCATTGGCGTTTAGCATTGGCTTTTAGCACTGGCTTTTAGCATTGGCTTTTAGCATTGGCTTTTAGCATTGGCTTTTAGCATGGGCTTTTTACCACTGGATTTCAGCATTGGATTTTAGCCTTGGATTTTAGCCTTGGAATTTAGCATTGGTGTTTAGCATTGGAGTTTAGCATTGAATTTTAGCATCGGCCTTTAGCGTTAGCTTTAAGCATTTGCCCTTAGCATTGGCTTTTACCATTGGCGTGTAGCATTGGGTTTTAGCATTGGATTTTAGCATTGGATTTTAGCATTGGATTTTAGCATTTGGACTTTAGCATTGGATTTGAGCATTGGATTTGAGCATTGGATTTGAGCATTGGATTTGAACATTGGATTTTGGCATTGGATTTGAGCATTGGATTTGAGCATTGGATTTTAGCATTGGATTTTAGCAACGGATTGTATCATTGGATTTTAGCGTTGGCTCTTAGCATTTGACTTTAGCATTGGATTTCAGCATTGGGTTTTAGCATTGGATTCTAGCATTGGTGTTTAGCAATGGTTTTTAGTATTGGATTTTAGTTTGTAGTACCGTGCACCGTGCACGGTACTACAGAACGCAACTGTGCACTTACTGCTGTGCACTTGCGACTTTAGCACTACACACTTACGGTTAACCGTGGCGGCGACACCACCGTCGACAAGGAGGCGGCGAAGACGGCGCTGCAGAGGAGATGCCTAGGAGTACACGAGGAGGACTGCGGCCTGGGCATGGCGAGGGGCCTGGGCATCACGATACAGGGCCGCCCCTACACGGCGATGGTCCACCCCGTGAAAATCAAATACCTGGTCCTGGCCACGGAGAGCCTGGTCATGATTGGATGCTCCACGCCATCGCGGGTGTCGTCTTTGCTGGGTATGTGGACCTGGTTGCTTATGGTATGTCGGTCTGGCCTCGCCATCCTCGACGCGATCTACATGTGGGTTCAGGACCACTCTGGCGAGGACTGGAAGCTCAACGTGGCGCTGCCGAAGGCCGTCCGCTCGGACCTGATGGCCCTGGCGAGCCTGTCGGTACAATGCGTCTCCAATATCAAGGCGGAATGGTGTCGGAGGGCTTGCATGACGGACGCGTCGGAGGAGGGCCACGGCGTCGCGCAGACGGAGGTGGGGCCCAAGGAGCGCCGCGACGAGGTCGGGAAGGGCGAGCCGCAGGTCTGGGCAGTCAGGGCCGAGGAGGCGTTCGGGGCGGCGGAAGCCGAGGTCGACATGGAGGGCGAGGGAAATGACGCGGTCGTCGGTCCCCCCGCCGGGGCACCCGGGCTTTCTGGAGCTGTTCTCGGGGGTCGATGAGCTGGCGGACGACGCGACGAGGCTGCGGGGGGTCTGGCGCGAGGCGTCAGACCTCCTGAAGGGGCCGAACTACGAGCTGCTGGTCCCGAGCGAGCTGGAGCTGCTCTTCGGGCGGATCAGACGACGCTGGTGGTGGATAGCTCATCTCGCTCCCGCGGGGGGCGTGGTGGGCCAGCACTTCGCGCTCGAGGTGGCCGAGCTCATGCGGAGGGGGCGCCTGCTGTTCACGGCTCTGGCGCGGCATCGGATGCACCTCGAGCGAGTGTGCGCCGACTTTCTGAGTCTGGAAGGGGGTCCTCAGCTACGCGCGCGTGACCGGCAGCTGGGAAAGAGTCCTCATCGCGAACGACGGGCGCTTCGCGGCGCTGAAGCGAAGTGCACGATGACGGGGCGTGGCGGCAGCGAGACGGAGTTCAAATGCGGGAGTGCTTGGCGGCGCTCATACGACAAGGTGGCGAAGATGACATTGCCCGACTGGTCCAGGGCCAGCGAAGGCGCGCAGGGGAGAATCGAGCACGGGGAGATGATTGGCGCGCGGGCAAAAGGCCAGGCGCGGCTGGACGGCTGCGCGCGCGAATGGCTCAAGCGGATCGACGAAGCAGAAGCAGCGCGGAGGCGAAAGACGACCCGCGCGGCGTAGTCCGATAAACCCATGCAGCCGGCGAAAGAATTCCGAAGTCGCAGCCTGTTTGCGACGGATATCAAAATTTACCCGGGGCGCGGCGGACATCTAGCTCCGCGCCCTCGCGCCGCTTCCCGCGCCGCGCGTGGTCAACGTTAGGTCGTCTTTGACTTGGATGCCGACGAGGTCCCCGCCCATCTGGATAGCCTGGCCGTGGAGGGCCGAACGGAGCTCGCGGAGGTTCTCTCCTGGCTCTTGGCGAGCACCTTGATCGCGCCAGCGGGCGCGCGCGCCCCTTGCGAGGCTGTGTGGTAGTGCTCTCCTGGCCTGGGCGCGTCGGGGTCGGGCGCCTCGGTGAATTGGACGCCCGTCGCACGGCGCGCGTGGTCCATCGGGAGCTTTAGCACGGCAGCGTCGTCCTTGCCCACCTCGCCGTTCGCGACGATCTCGGCGATCTGCTCGGAAATGCGGTCGGCCTTGTTGCCGAGGCGCCGCTCCGCGTTGAGCATAGCTGCAGTCGCGGACGGGGCGGCCCCCACCCGTCCCCCAGTGCGCGAGGGCTTCAGTTTGAGTCTGTTGGCCGCACTCTGCTTGTCGGCCACGTGCACCTTGTCCATGACATCCGACCACGTGTCGTTCGAATCCGTCGAAACGACGGGATAGCGCTTACAGTCGATAGCGAGAATCTGAGCAAAGCGGCCAGAAGTGATGGGCCGAACCAGGGCCGCTGCACTCCAAGATCATCGCGTCCGCGGCTATCATGAGGCTCTTGCTGCAGTAGATGATGTCGTTATGATGGAGTCGCCGGCGAAGATCCTGCAAAAGCATAATCTGGTCCAGGGAGGTGGCCGAAGTTGGGATAATAATATCGATGACGACTCTCGACAGTTCTATCGAGCTGATGGCGAAAACACGCGCCTCGCATGCCGTCCGTGCGAGCCAGCGCAAGGAACTGCGGGAGGTGGTCAACCTGCATGTCGACAGCGAAGGCGACGTAGTCGGCAACCTGTAAGATCGCGCCAGGGCTGATCATCTTAGGGATGCTCCTGGGCCCCATGTGCGAAAGAGTGAAGATAGCAAGGCCCTCGGACTCGTGCCTGGGGACGTTGACGGGGCTGGACGTGACCACCTCGAAGGGGAATGATGCGAAAGCGACCCCTCGAACGAGAGACATCCACCTCTCGGACAGAAGGGGGGAAGTTCCAGAGGTCGGTGATACTGGTCACGGAGTTCATGCCCTTCTCCTAAGGAAATGTGGCTAGCATCTGCAGCGAAGCTGGCCGTTCGTCCTCCGGGACTCGGCGCAAGAACAAGGCCAGGCATCGGGTCAGCGCATTTGGACCGCTGGGGCCCCAAATGCAGATGTGCTTGCCGACCACGGAGTCCCACATACGTCCGTCCCCCTTCTCGGCGAGCGGGGCAAAGGCGCGGGCAAGCTGGACGGTGGTCTCAGGGGCCTGGGTGGCTCGTAAAATGTTCGACCGCTGTCGAACCACTCCTTCAGCAAGTTCGTCAGAGCCTCAGTGGCGCGGCCTGGAGCAGGCGGCGAGGCGGCCGCCTAAGCGCCAGCTCTTGGGACCTGGAGCCCAGGCGGCAGCGTGGCAGGCCCAGCGGCAGCGGCGGCCACTTGGTGCCTAGCGATATCTCCCTCGTCGACCTCGATGTCATTCATCTCGGCCAGCGGCTGGGCCACGCCGGAATCCACAACATCGCCCACATGCAGGGCCGCCATGCCCTGCGTAGCGCCGGAGTCGCCCTCCGCGCTGTCCGTGCACGCTGGCGCAGGCGGCAGCGGCGGCCTGGTCGCTGCAACGGCGGCAGCAGCGGGGCCGGGCAGCGCCTGGCCGCAGCGCCGGTAGCGGCCCTGCTCGTCGGCAGCCGCGGGGAACGCGCCGACGAGTGGGCAGGCCAGATGCGTGCAAGCCATGCCGCAGGCCGTGCGCGGGTCGAGTCGACGGCGGAGGAGGCGGCGCGGGGGCAGGCCGGAGCGGCTTGAGCCAAGCTTGAGCCAACCAAGCTTGAGCTTGAGCCAACATGACTACGGTACCATGTCGCAATCTGTCCGCCCGTCGGATTTCAGGGTAGACCCGGGATGGGCTGCGGGCCTGGCTAGGATTCAGCAAACGACGAACGGTGTAAGACAATATTGTTCCGCCATCGGACAAGCACGCCCTGTCCTAGGGCGATGGCGGAACAATGGATATTGTACCGTCCTTCGCTTGCTAGAGTCGGGCATAGGGAAGACTCCAGTTCAGAGGACTCGAGTTGGCCTGACTGGACAACCAAACAAATGACGGGGCCCAACTTTAACTTTGACGCGAACTCCCACTACAAACATCTCACGAACATCGAACGTCAAAATTGACGCTGTGACCTTCAACATCGGCGGCAGACCCGAGGTCTGGTAAGCTCACCTCTTACGTTTCCCTGATCAAGGACCCAGGCCACCGATGGCTTGAATTTTTCAGCACGGGATCCCCAAAGCTCTGGACCACTTCCTGGGGACCGATTTCTCGTAACGGATAATTTTTCGATGGCCCCAAGGTCCAACGAAGGCCCCGAGACACAGAAAACGGCAACATCCGTCATATGTGTTCAGCACTGTGTAGGTCTGGGTGCATAGTTCTCGTCGGCCGACGGCCGTCGCTGTGAGCGACACGTCAAGCAGCCCGAACGCCGCCGCGACCTGGGGCACTGTTAAGGGGGGGTCACCACCAGAAGGGTCGCCACTTTCTCGAAGAAACGCCATTCCTCGAGGAAGTGCCCCTCCAGGAAAACTCCAGAGCCTCCTTAAGCTTCCATCCTAGAGCCTCGATTTCCAGCAAGATCTGGTGTCCCCGCTGCAACTCTGGTCGCAATGAGCGCGAGGACGCCGGGTGGCTCTTGACGATGCGTTATCTTAATTTGCCTTTGGGATGTAAAGCGCAGTGGGTACTCTCTGTTGACGACCGCGCTGGGCTCTTGGCTGGATGACTCCCCGCCCGTGCGCCCCGATCCGCTGGCTTCAGCTTTGGAGGGCGGGGGCAAACTCCCCACGGCACGACTTAATGTTGTCTCGTCAGTTGTGACCGGACTTGTATCCAGTCGATCAGAAGCTTTGCCACGCCATCCGAGGGTGCCGATCTCGCTCGGGACTTCCTCGCAACAAAATGCCTGAGAGCGGCGATTCCGCCAGGGACCTCGCAAAAGATGTCCAGTCGCTTTCCACGCCGCCCTCCTAGAGTGCCGATCACCACTTTCTAATCCAGGGGGTGGTTGCAAAAAATGCTCGCTCCGAAATGGTCAACTTACCACAGACGCACATGAACGATGTGCGCGGTAGTGTGGAACATGGGACAAATCTGTAAGTGGCATGACTCCGTGCACTGCGCCTGCGGCGGCGGCCATTGCAAACAATAATGGCTTCGACGTGGCAGATTCACCGCAGTCGTAAACGAAGGTGGCAGCTGTGACCAGACTTGTGGTGGTGACCCCCCTCAGCACTGCCCCCGAAGACCTTCGAGGGCGGCGGCCTCTCTGGGCTGCCAGGGCTGCGGTCGCGGGCCTCGCGGACCAGGGGGCCCGCGTCCGCGCTCCGCCTCCGCCGCGCCTCCGCCTCCTCTGGAGGACCATTTGTTGGATGGATCGCTCGAGCTCCCCGCCGCCTCAAGTGGTGTGCGTCAAGAGCAGGAGCGCAGCAAAGCCATAGGAACTCGTGGCATCCAAAGCGTAGCTCCGTACTCCTGTCACATGCTCTCGCGCGCATGAACACAGCAACGCCACAGCACTACCAGGCTTTGACAGTATAGCTCAGCATCAACGCGCTGGCTGGGGAGCCCCCGCAACATGCCCACGAGCGTTGCTCCACCCCGGCGGGTGTGGAATAGCAGACCTCCCCAGACCCCCAGCGTGTTGAACAAATCTGAACGGACTCTTGTTCATCGCGTTTTGCGTCTGGGGGCCCTCGCCAGGCCCAGGATGAAAAGCCAGCCCCGGGAGAAAAATCCAGGAAAAAGGTCGAGACCTCTCCGGGGATCGAGGCTATGCAAAAACGGTGACGTTGGGCGTCTGGGGACCCAGACCTCGGACGGTCTGTTGTGTGCCCAATCGCAGCGCTCCCTGAGACCCAGGCATTGCAACCGTGTCACGCCGGGCGTCTTCGCACAATTTCGGGCCCCGGGACCATCCAAGATCGATCTGGCTCGAAAAACGCCACAGGAAGGCAGGGTATGGGGCTCTGGTCGTGATTTCCCGCAGTGTTGGACATGTTTCGCAATGTCGAATCGTAAGAAATCCGAACCTCTGGCGGTATGACGTTTTTCATCGCGACGTTTCTCCTTCACCTCGGTGACCTTGCGGAGGCCGCTCGCGGGTCCCAGGGCAGTCAAAAGCGGATCCGGGGCACAAAACTACCAGCGCGTGCGCATGACACGCAAAGCACCTCATTCGATTAGGTAAAAACTCGCACGCTGCATCACTCGCTTCACAGCAATCGCACGCACTCTCGAACGTGAACTTGCATTCTGCATCAGCCGCCCAAACCTGCACGCGACGCCATTGTAGTCACGCGTTGCAATGTTGGCCGGAAGCGAATCGATCCACGGGCCGCGAGTCCAGGTTTGCACACCGGGCGGGAAGGGGGGGGGCGGGGGCGGGGCGGGCATGCCGTGCATTTTCTGCATCAGCCGCTCCGCAACAATCGCATGCACTCGTCGAACTTGAATTCGCATGTTGACAAAAACACTGCACAATCATCGCGCGCATTACACCTGTGCATCCAACTCTGACATCCTGGTATACCCCCGGGGGCAGGGAAAGGGAGCTCTGTACGGCCGCGGATTGGAAAGATCAGATCGGAAGATGTCTGGGACAGAATCTTCCGGAGGTGCTCCTGGACCCCCCCTCCCTGGCGCACGGAGCGCGCCAGGGGCGGCGCTGGAGGCGCCGCCAGGGGTGTTCAGCGCCGACCCAGGAAATCCGCGCGGACCTCCGAAACTGTCTCTTCATGGCGATTTCTCTTTTTCGATCCTCCGCGTCGTCATCCGCCAATGCCTGCTCAGAGTCCTCGAACTCCCGGGTGGCCTCGGCCGCCTCCTCCAACTCACGCCAGCGCTCCTGTACGCAGAAAGATACCAACTTCCTCCTCCTCGTGTTCTGAAGAAGACGCCATCACGTTACGTTGTGATTCGTCTGTCAACAGGGTCATCGGTCTGGTCTATATCTGCTCTGGACCTTGAACCCCAGTTGCAATTCATATTCCCGCTGCAATGCTCGTCGGTATTCTCGGCGTCTTTGCAGTCGCTGGTACGACTGAACTGGAAGCTGTGCTGGTCGATCATTTGGCGACTTCTTCATAGACCGCACTCATGACTTTCATATGTACTCATCATGATGTTCCTCGCGTTGCTTGTCTGCGTCGTTTGCGCGCTACGATGTGATGTATTTGCCGTTATGCTGGCTCGCTGGCTGTTATGTCATGTCGGCACGCCCCGTATTGGTTTGGCCGTCAATGCGCCGAAACAGGCCGTTATTGCAGTGGCCTGTCCTGAAGATGAAGCTACGACGTTACGTTGTGGTTCGTCCGTGTAAAGCACATACCTAAGCCGTGCCTGGCCAGGGCCACCCGGGGCCTCAACATGTTGTACAGGCCCTCCCGACCGAGGCCCGGAGGGTCTGTACACCGTTCTGGGGTCCAGGGTCGTTCTATGGTGGTAGTGGTGGTGGTGGTGGTGGCAAACCCAGACATCCTCTGATCTGTTTTTCCCAACTATCCTGCGGTGTTGAGTCCTCGATTTGAAGAGACTGTGCCCCGCGTCTCCCCTCCTCCTCCTCTTCTCCTCCCTCCCTCCTATCCCTGCCTCTGCACTCCGCATGTCAACCAATTCGGCACACGTACCACATGTTTCGTGCCCCCTTTGGGAGCTCCAGAGGGAGCGTTCGCATGTGGGCGTCACGCCCGTTTCGGCACCCCCATCACACGTCTCGTGGACCCATAGGCAGCTCCACCGAAGGCCCCAAAAGGAGCGTTCGCATGTGGGCGTCACGCCCGTGTCGGCACCCCTCTCACACGTTTCGTGGCCCCATAGGCAGCTCCACCGAAGGCCCCAAAGGGAGCGTTCGCATGTGGGCGTCACGCCCGTTTCGGCCCCCCCCCCCCTCACACGCTTCGTGGCCCCATAGCCAGCTCCACCGAAGGCCCCAGAGGGAGCGTTCGCATGTGGGCGTCACGCCCGTTTCGGCACATCCCTCACACGTCTCGTGGCCCCATAGGGAGCCCCACCGAAGTTTCCAGAGGGAGCGTTCGCATGTGGGCGTCACGCCCGTTTCGGCACACCTCTCACGCGCTTCGTTGTCCCATAGCGAGCTCCGCCGAAGGCCGCAATGGCACGGTCCGCATGTGTCCCCCACCCGCCCAGCCCATTTCGACATGCCAGCCCGACGGGTAAATCCACCGAAGACCATACTCACAGCTGCGGTACTCACAACTGCATATTGTGTGGGTCGTTCGCTGGGATCATGTCAATCCGCTGCCCCAGGGATCAATTTTTGTTGGCCTCGGGGCCCAGAAGCAGTCTCGATGAGGCCGAAGGAGGAGGAGGAGAAACGTCGCGAACCTCATATCGTCGGGGCTCTGGGCATGAATATACATATATGTGTATAAATATGTGTATACATATGTGTATATATATATATATATATATGCCTCCCGTGGACCCTGGGGTCTTCCCCCAGGACCAACTCGCCACCTTGAGCCGTTCCTTGAAAGCGGGGGTCGGGGAGGGCCCCGAGAGCCCAAAGAGCGGCGAAAAGCTCCGGACCCGTTCCCCTCAGGACCTGCTCCCAGACATCTGACGTCTTGGGTCCTTGCGTTTTTCAAGACGAGGTTTTTCGGAAGTCCCGACCCTTTCCCCAGGGCCGGTTCGGTTTTACATCCCGAGGCCTTGTTCGACGGTCCTGGGGCCTGGCGAGGGCCCCTGGAGGCCGAAGACGCCCCAACAAAAACTTCCGTCGTGCTTTTTCGCGACGCGAGCACGTCTGGGCTTCATTGCTTCTTGGCGAGGACCCTCCTCGTGCTCTTCAAGCCACTGCCGATCGGCCTCCTCGTCCTCCTTGAGCACGCGCGGGCGCTTGGTGCCCTGCGGGCCGTCGCCACCGGGCCGCCAGCCGCGGAGCCAACGGCCCAGCCCGGCGCCCTCGACCGCCGCGCAGAAGCGCGCGGCCTCGGCCGGCGGCGCCGCGCGCGCCGCGTCCACGGCGGCGGCCATCGCGGCGTGCAGCGAGGCCATTTCGGTGTCCCTGGGGGCGCGGTCTGCGAGCATGCACTCGGGGTCGGAGTCGCAGATGGTCGGAGGAGGGCCAGTCGAGGCAGCGGCGGCCCACCAAGGCGCCTCTCGTGCCTTCCAGACCTTCTGGAGGCTTCTCGTCGCCACTGCTGGATCCGCCTCGAACAACGAGTCAGCAGGGACCCCGCGAGGGGTCCAGGGACCGACTTGGAGCACATTCGGGCCAGGCGTGACAGCCGCCGTTGCCTCAGCTGGCCCTCCTCCGAGATTCGGTCCGCGATGACCGTCGCCACGGCGACCGCCTCCAGAGAGGAGCAAGAGCGGCACGGGCATGAGCTCCCCGAGGTCCGCGCGGGATTCTTGGGGTCGGCGCAGGGTCCCCCACCCCCGGCGGCGACTCTGGCGCGCTCCGCGCACCGCAGGGCAGGGGGGCGCGCTCCAGCGCCGACCCCAGGAGTCCGGGCGCAGGTCACAAAGTGGAAAAGCTCATGGTGCCTTCTTTGCTTCGAGCCCCTCGCCTGGTCGCGGCGACGAGAGCGCCCCCGCAGGAGGCACCAGGCAGAGGGCGAGAGGGCGAGAGAGCGAGGGCACGCAGGAGGCACTGGCAGCACCACTTCTGCCCAACCTCCGGCGGGCCTCGCGGAGGAGGCCGAGGGCCTCGAGCCGCAGCGGGGACGCCGCGAGCTGGAGGAGGAACCGCTGGGGGTCCGGGAGCGCCGCGTTGGAGGCCGCTTGCGTGGCCGCGGCCTCGCCGGCCCGCGGTCCCGGTGCCTCCGACGGCCAGCTGCTCAGCATCATGCTGAAGATGTCCTCGAAGTTCTCGCCGTCGTCGCCCACCATCGCCGCGGCTGGCCAGGGTGCGGCGGGTCAGCGGGCGAAGGGCCCAGCAGGGGGCCAAGGGTCTCCCGACGGGGAGGGGCTCGAGGTCGGGCTCGGGAGCAGACTCGGGCTCGGGCTCGGGCTCGGGCTCGGGCTCGGGCTCGGGCTGCGGCTTGGGCTCGGGCTCGGACTCTCGGCCTCCGCCCGGGAAGTCTGCCTCTTCGGCTCGAGGAAGCTGCTTTCCGAGCTGAAGGCTCGGCTCATGGGGCCACGAAACGAATGAGGGGTGCGCCGAACCAGTGGTAACGCCCACATGCGGACTCTGCCTCTGGGGCCTTAGGTGGAGCTCCCTATGAGGCCACAACGCGTGTAAGGGGTTGTGCCGAACCAGTGGTGACACCCACACGCAGCGTGGAGAAGCTGAAAACACCCCCAGGAAATCGAAGGCAACAATAGTGAGGGGGTAGTCGCGAGGGGAGGGTCGAGAGGGGGAAGAGTGCAAGCTAGGTGCGCTCGCGCCCGCCTCATCGGACATCCTATCCCTCCCTCCCATCCCTTCCCATTGCGCTAAGTTGTCTCTTTTCTCGGACGCGTGTCATAATCGGCCTGCAACTCTCACAACAACAACGCATTGTGTTATGCGCAATCGGAGAAGGGCTGTTGCGTGCACAGGAGGAGGAGGAGTTGGCGGGTGAGCAGGAGGATGAGCGGGAGGAAGGGGACGAGGACGAACAGCAGCAGCAGGGATTGGAGTGGAGGGGGCAGGAGGAGCAGGAGGAACAGGGATATGCGGAGGAGGGGAAATGAGGGGGGCGACAGCATTGAGGAAAGACTCGGATTCAGAGCAGTGGCCCTCGCTGGGGCGAGAGCGCCATTCTGAACGACGGGAGCGAAGCGCCGATCCGAAAATGGGGCCCACGCTGCGGTGGGGGATACAATGTTGAAACACCGATATCAGGTTGCAAACGCCCATAAAGCATATACACGTTTGAAATCCGATACGTAAAAAGCAGCACCCTGAGAGAGCCTGGTATTTTTCGGACGGGGGCAGGGGAGACAGGATAGTAATATTCATATTGTTGAATCTTGAAGTTTGAAAAGAAGGAGGAACGAGAAAAGAAGAAGCAGTGCGACAACAGTGACGAGCCGAGGCATCAAACACACACACACACACACACGCACACGCACACGCACACGCACACACGCACACACGCACACACGCACACACGCACACACGCACACGCACACGCACACACACACACACACATACACACGCAGCACTCATAGGAACGTTCCCAGGGGACCAGACACCTCCATTCTGGAGGTCGGACCTCCATTCTGGAGGCAAAAAAACCATCAGGATGGAGGAGTCAAGCGTTCAGAATTGGATCGGACCTACATCTTGATTTGTTTCCAACCATAATGTGGTGTTGGGTGATAGTATTGAAGAGGCGGCGCCCCACGTCACCTCACCTCACTCCTGCCCCTCTCCTCTCTCCTCCCATCCCTGCCTCTGCCCTCGCATGCCCGGTATGTGGGCGTTACCACCGCTTCGGCACACCCCTCACACGCTTCGTGGCCCCAGAGGAGCTCCTCAACCTACGGCCCCAGCGGCAGAGTCCGCATGTAGGCGTCGCCACCGTTTCGGCACACACCCCTCACACGTTTCTTGGCCCCACAGGAAGCTCCACCGAAGGCCCCCAATGGAAGAGTCCGCATGTGGGCGTCACCACTGTTTCGGCATATCCCTCATACGTTTCGTGGCCCCGGAGGGAGCTCCACCTAAGGCCCCAATGGCAGAGTCCGCATATGGGCGTTGCCACCATTTCAGCGTACCCCTGGCTCGTTTCGTTGCCCCATGAGGAGCTCCACCGAAGGCCCCAGTGGCCGGATCCGCTGGCCTCGCCCGCACGTTCCCTCCTGACTTGACCTACGCCATGCCACCGCGCGAGTGGCCGCGACGCCAAAAAAGTGCGTGTCTGTGTGTATAGTGTATGTGAATACGTGTGTGTGGTGTGTGCGTGTGTTGTGTGTGCTTCGCTCGTGTGTGTGTGTGTGTGTGTTGTGTGTATGTGTGTGCGTGCGTGCGTGTGTGTGTGTGTGGTGCGTGTGCGTGGTGCGTCTGTGTGTGTGGTGTGTGGGTGTGTGCGTGTGTGTGTGTGTGTGTGTGGGTGTGTGTGTCTGTGCGTGGGTGGTGTGTGTGCGTGCCTGTGCGTACGTGCTCGCGTGTGTGTGTGTGTATGCGTGTGTGTGTGTGTGTGTGTGCGTGTGTGTGTGTGCTTGTGTGTGTGGTGTGTGGGCATTTCTTGCCGCCCTGTCGCTGCGATCGCTGTTCCAGACTTTATCCGCCCCGTCGCTGCGCGCAGGGCCGCGACGCCAAACAAATTGTGTGCATGTGTACGTCTGTGCGTCCGCGCGTGCGTGCGTGTGTGTGTGTGTGGTGTTCAAATGTGTGTGGCGTGCGGGGTTAAGTACGTGTGCGCGTGTGTGTGTGTGTGACGTGTGTGTGTGTGTGTGTGTTGCGTGTGTGTGTGTGTGTGGTACTTCGCCTCGTCGCCGTGCGCGGGGCCGCTAACCAAAAATTGTGTGTGGCGTGTGTGTATGTGCCCTACAGGTGGATGCCGTGTTGGACGGCAACTCAATGCGTTTCATGTCCACGTACCTGCCTCCCGACAGGAGTCGCGAAACGCTGCTTGAACTTCAGGGCAGGTGCCCCCCCACTGATGACGTCTCCACCTATTGGGCTGGTGACATCAACATGCAGATGGACTCTCCGCGTCCAGGTGAAGAGAAAGACGTGGCCACTTGGCTCGAGATGTTGGCGCGCAGGCGGCAGATGTCCTTCCGAATCGAAGGGCCCACCAAGATCAACAGGGAAGGAGAGTCACACATTGACTCGGTGGCCACACCTGCAACGCAGGTCGACATGATGAAGTACGGAAAACCTGGAGGCTATCGCTGTCGGATCACGCCCTTCTGTATTTGAACCCACGCAACGCGCCCGCCAAAACGGGCCCCGCGGTTCTCACACCGGGGACTTCTAAGGCTCTCCCAGGAGAAATTGTTCCGATCTGCGGAGACGGCTTCTAGGGCTTGAACTCCCCTTCCATGTCCCGAAAAATTGATCCCTCTGGGATTGCACAATAAACGACCTGGATACGGCCAGCAGAACCCGGAAAGGTACCACAAGCCGATTCGGATCTAACGCAATTACTCGGCGATCATGCAATACATACTGCAGGGGCCCCGTCGGGAAATCATACGAGCGAGGTCGACGGCGAGCTGCCTCCTCCACCCATCCTCGCAGTGCTCATGCTCAGGGGAATAAGCATGATGACTGGCACCATCCCATCATGGTGGGCCACTTGAAAGAGGAAAAGGACGCAGGAATCACCAGGCGTCCTTCTGCGCAGCATGGCGCGGGTGGATGGCGACAGTCGACCAACGGGACGATTGGCAGCCTGGATGCAAGCCCGACGGATGGACGGTCCCGACGGTCAGCCCGACGCCGCCCAACGGGCAGTTCGGTGGCAGGCTGAACACGACCAGCGGGCGGCAGCACGAATCTCCGCGTGGCAGAAGGGACCAGGGGCAGCCAGGGTGCCAGTGGCGGCCAACTTGCAGATCGGCAAAGAGCTCTTCAAGAAAGTTCACTCCCTCAGAAGGGTTCAGGACAGCGGTGGGCAGCGGCAGAAGGCGCCCGCCAAGGTAGAACAAATCCTCTGGCAGAGTCGAGCAGCAACCTGGGGCTCCGCCGCACCTTTGCCCACGGCTGCTACGAAAGTCCTGGAAAACTACTTCCGCCAGTTCCGCCCCTTCGACCTCCCATCAGCCCCGACACCGTCATGGCACGACATCGCCAATCTCGTGCTCGAGCCCGATGGAAGTGCACCAGGACTAGATGAAGAACCTTACGATACGAGATGTACCACGTCGGGACACGCTTCGTCACCTGCCTGCTTGCGCAAGCAATGTACGCGTCCGGCATCAATGATCGAGCGCTCGAAACAGTGCTCGGGGAATCGGCGGATTTGATGGTTTGGACTCCAAAATCTCCAAGGGCCGAAACACCCAGCGACCTCTGGCCACTACAACTCCCCACCTGTTTTCGGTTACTTTGCGGGGCCACGGTGGCGCACTTGGTAGGCCCTCAATTTCGAGCCCCTTTTGTGGCCGGACCAAGCGGCCATCAAAGGAGGCCAATGTGGACCGACTACAACCAAGGCCAATCAGCACCTTGCAGGTCGACCCGGCCACGAAAGACCCCATAGGAGAGGCATGGGGGCGTATCACCAATCGTCGAAACCCATATATAATGGGTTCTAGAGCAAGATGGGGAGGCACCCTCCAACGCCGCCCTCTTCGACGACCAGAACAAGGCCTTCGAAATAACGTCCACCCATTGGGCTGCGCTCATGCTCCACCACTAGGAAATGCCGAGGTGGATTCAACAGAGCCTCCTGGGGCTCTGCCACAGGCAGGTTGTTCGCATGCGCAATGGATCCACGAAGGGACCCATTCGCAGATTGCTTCGCAGTGTTGGGATGGGGGGCGCTGTTTCGCCGCTCTTATGGGGGATATGCTACGACCCAGTGGTTTAGGCACTACGTGACACATGACACACTGAGTGCCCTACCTATGTGGATTATCTGGCTGCCATGATGGCGCGTGCACCTCCGTACCGCCATGGGCACAGCCAAGGGGAGATGGGTCCCCCAGTTTCTCCTGACTGGCCTCGGATAGCTGCTCGGGGTTAGCTGGAGCACCAAGGTGCCCCATCGCATACATACGCTGGAGGAATCGTGGCAGCGGCTGCATCCACGGCACGAGTGCTTTTCCCTAGCACCGAGGGGGTGATGCGATTCCAATCCACGACAGGTGGGCAGCCCCTGAGCAGCTCAGCTACAGGGACCTCCCCCCCAACTCCGTACTGGCACGATGCCTCGAGAGCCCGGGATTCGAATAAAACATGCCACGGTCGCGTGGGAGGGAAGGGCGGGACAGCGACACATTGCGTGTCA